AAAAAAAAAAAAATGTAAAGAGAACAGAATGACAAGTAAAAGGCCTAACACTAGCAAAATTGAGCTCTAATTAATGTACAATGGTGTATCAATTAATTCTCCGTGGTTAAATTTTAGGAATAATTTCAGAGGCCTCTCTTACGTTTCGCTTTATCACAATAACCTCCCTTGTAGTTTACGTTATTACGCTTGTCTCCTTATTTTGATTTTTTGTAACAATTCTTTTATATTTATTTATTATAAATGTGACCAAGTACAATATGACAATTTTAACCCTACTAGTATTATACCCTATTGTTGACAGAAAATTATTAAAACTCTTTTACTTGCTCCCTCCGTTTCAATTTAAATGACACATTTTCTTATTAGTCTGTTCCAAAAAGAATGATACATTTTTATATTTAAAAATAATTTAATTTTAAACTTTTCATGTATCCTCTCCCTCTTTATGCAAATTTATGATATCTACTCATGTAAAGGTATTATTAAAAGTGTTATAACCAGGGGCGGTTTGACATAATTGGGGGCCTAAAGCGTAACTACAATTAGAGTCCCAAATTTTTATAATCGATTTTTAAGTAATTATTTTTCAATTGATAATATAGCTAACCGATTTAATCACTCTTGAGACGTTGATCTTATGTATTTTTATTTTGAAAATTTTTTTTCCGTTGAGGCAACCGTTAGACATTTGAAAATGAATCAAGTCTTTTTATGTAAATAAGTATATCGATTAGAGTGTTATCTTCTATTTGTACTAATTTCCGTAGCACTTGTTAACTCAAAATATAAGTCTAAACCATCAATATTAGAGTGACTATTATGCTTTAAGGATCATCAAAAAGGTTAATACAATTTTTTTTTCCTTTCAAATTCTCATCATTTAGTAATCTCAATATTTTAAAATAATACTTATATTTAGTGGTCAGAGTGTAAAAAAAGCAAATGAAGGTTATATCAAGTTTAAGGAAATTATAGAGATATGTTTACTTTATGAGAGAACTTTTCCATTTCTCAACAGTCACATCAACTTCACGACGATAAATTTTTACTATAAAATACTTAAACAGCTTTAAGGAAAAATAACATAACATATTCCTTCTAAAATTGGGGCCCCACGAAATTGGGGCCTAAGGCATATCCAAGCCCTTTGAGCCGGCTCTGGTTATAACTATTTAAAAGATTAAGATTTATGAAATTAATTTACTGAAGGCTTCTCGTTTTCTGGTGATATTAGTTCTACGCCTTTACTTTGCTTTACTGGAGGAGATGTGCAGCTGATAAATGAATTGTAAAGGTCTAGAAAGTTATACGTACCCTTTTAAAATAGTAATTAGTGAAGGTAAGTTTAGGCGTAATCAGTAAAGTTAGATGTTATGAAACCAGGAAATACGAGTTCGAGCCGTGATAACAACCTCTTGCAAAAATGCAGGGTAAGGTTGCGTACAATAGACCCTTATGATCCGGCCCTTCCTTGGATCTTACACATAGCGAGAGCTTAGTGTATCGAGCTGGCCTTTTTAATTAGTGGAGTAATATTAAGCTATTGGTTGGATAGTTATTTGGGAGAAATTCAAAAATAGTCAGATTTACAAGTGGTCATTCAAAAATAGCCACACTTTCAAAAGTAATCGAAATTTAGTCACTTTTCATGTAAAGATAAATATGAACGAAAACACAGTTCAAAATCCGAAAAATACTCCAGTATATTATACTGGAGTTCCAGCATAAGTATACTGGAACTCCAGCATATTATACTGAAGTTTCAGCATAAGTATACTAGAACCTCAGCATAATATATTGGAGTTCCAGCAAAGTATACCGGTCCAGTATAATATGCTGGAAGTTCATACACAGGTGCTCGAATCTCCAGTATGTTATGCTGGAACTTTTCGCGTGTTGTAGTTCCAGCATAATATGCTGGAAGTTCATACACAGGTGCACCGAACTCCAGTATATTATGCTGGACCGGTCTCTGTTACATCAAAATATTGGCTATTTTTCAATGACTTGATAAACGCTGGCTATTTTTGAATGACCAGTCCGAAAACTGGCTAGCTCGTGCTATTTTTACTAGTTATTTAGGTTAATTCTTTTACAGTTACATTTTTTTCCACCTCGCAGTTAACAAAATTTACTGTTTAGTTTGAAGATTCTGGTAGACCCCCTCCACCCATCTACTGGGCCAGAAGCAAAAACTAAATGCCTAAGGATCCAAAGGAAAAAAAAAAAGGTACAAAACAAACTAAGGTGCTGATAGCTAAGACTTGTCTCCATTACAAATCTTGCTATAATGTCTTCTAATTTTGACATGACAACATCAAGAGGGTGTTTACCTTGCCTATTAAGCTGGCCAACTCAGATTTTAAGCTCTTTTTAGCTTTTTTCAGTATTTGACAAAGTCAAAAAATACTTAAAATAAATTTAAAAGTGCTTAAAACAAGCCAAAAGCAATAAACTGGACGACCCCAACTTATTGCTTTTTGGCTTAAAAACTATTTCCATTGAAAAGCTACTTTTTTTTTAAGTCAAGGGCTCTAAATCATCTCAAAAAAGCAAGGTCTACAGGTAGAGATGAGAAGTTACAAACTTCAGAAATTGCAGTTTGACATCTTGAACACGAGAATTTGTGGACTAGGATTACTTCTCAATTCACTAAAATGGCCTAAAAAAAGAAAAAAAATGTCTCCATTACAAATTTTGCCATGATGCATTCTAGTATTGACGTGACTACACCAAGATATGATGAAAGATCGCTCCACCTTTAACCAGATATTTTAGATTCGAGATTCCCGAGAATTAAAAAAACCTCTGGTAGGAAGCGTTTACCCTGTTTAATATGCCCTACGCCGACACGAAAATGAATTTCATATGCCGGATAGTTATCCCAACAAAAAAACATGATACAACCTTCAAATATTGTAGTTTGATACCGGTATTCAGCTCAATAGCTATTGACAATCAACGATAACACCCCTTCTTCAACCATCCAGCATTAACCAAACTTTGCTACCTAATTTACAAATATAAAACAAATGACTAGAAAATCAAATGAACAAATGACAAGAAACAAACATCTCATCTGAATTTTCTACACTACCAAAAAACCTTTTCTTATATGTGAATGAAGAAACTGATGCTATACACAGGCGACAATCAGCAATCTAAGTCCACTTTGAAAACTTTGTCACCAGAGCTTTAATGACAACTTGCAAAAGCACGAGCCCGAAGATCCTGAATCACATCTTATTGGAGAATTGTACAACAGAACTGGAGGTTGAAATGTGTCTCATTTGTATTGGTGCAGTGAAATGAATTGTTTCACTTACAAAACTGCAACTTGACTGTAAGGGTACAAGAGGGCGGAGCAAGTTGAAGTAGTACCGGAAAATGAGTTCTGAAGCTCGGGACATGGTTCAGGAGACACATTTTGAGAAGAACCAGATATATCAGAGCATAGCCATGGTATAGGGTTGGAAGAAACGGAAAAGGTGACGTTTGATAGACATATTGAAGTAAAGGGAGATTCAGATAATCCAGAGAAATTGCCTGCTGTGAAAATATTTGTGCCGACAATGTCCTCAAAAGTGATGCCACTAACAACTGGAAGTGCAGAAGGATCAAATTTCTCATCTGGATGAGAATCACAATGACCAGTGGCATCGATTCCCACTTGCACGTTTGCCATAACCACGTCTGTAACGATAATATCTTTGATATAACCACCCCTTCCTCTTGCCGTCTTCAGCTCAATCCCGAAAAGGGAGTCATGTAGGTAAACATGCTCTACTAGTACATTGGAAATACCGCCAGACATCTCACTACCAAAAGCCAAGCCAGCGCCTGCACAAGACTGCAACCTAACCCCTCGAACATGGACACTTGTAGTAGGTTTCCCATAGGATATTCCATACTCATCCCAACCGCTTTTAAGAACAACGGCGTCATGACCCATGCTAATGTTGCTGTTCTCAATACACACATGCTCAGAAGAATCTGAAAATGCTATAAGGTTTCAACATTACTCCGAAAAAAAGTTGCAAGTACCTTCATGATTGCATACAAATGTAAGAGAATTTTTTTTAATTTTAAACCGACCTGGAACTATCCCACAGGTATATGGGGAGTTAGACGGAGAATGAACTGTTATGTTCTGAACCACCACATTACTGCAAAACATGAATTTTTCAAATAAGTTAGAAAAATCCAGATCTTACCACAAGCGAACCTTAGATTGAAAAGCTCTTCGCACAGAGATAATCAAAGCTAC